TTAGGGATAAAGGTACTCTGGGGAATCATTCATTAAAGTTGTCTAGGTTGCTACAAGGTTTATCATTCAAATCAATGTTTTGACTGTATTCGTTTGTTCATTGGTTGAAGGAGGAGTACCTACTGCCATTAAGTAAACTCATTCCCTTTTTATTATAGTATCATATTTTGAATTTAATGAAATTTAAGTATCTTTGTATTAATGCAAAAAATAGCAATGTGCATTCGTTTATTCGTTTATTTGTTTATTATAATGTCAAATTATCATATTTATTTCACTATGTTACCTCTTTTGGTTTGATGGATTTTTAATTGGATGACACCTGTAAAAAAAACATAAATTTTTGAATGAATTGTCTTTGACAAAAAACATAATCATACTTTTATAAAAAGTTATCAAAATTTTAAACCCATTGAAGTTCACAATATAATTTTCTCAATAGAGTATTCATTCTCTTTGTATAAACTTGACTTCGTCCCTCAGATTCTTCTCAATTGCTTCATCTTCCCATTGCAACAAACCTCTCTTCTTTTAGTTGAACAAGTTTTGGTCTTCAAATAGGTAATCATCAATCATAATTTATAATGTCTTTGATTATAACGAAGAAAAATTAAATATTTGTTGGATTTTTGCTCTCACCAACCAAATTAAATGTATGAGTGACTAATGTAAGAAAGATTTATACATTTAACATGTCGAATCCCATTTTTTGATGTTTTCATCACCAATTATAGTTCAAACTTTAGTTGTCGGCACTTTCTTCGTTTATTCCCTCTTTCTTGTAATCAAAATGGAAATGTGAATGTTATTGGGATAGGTTAACAATCGGATTTAGTTTTGAAAGTATTCACGATCGATTTTTGCACGAACTTGTGTCGCAAATGATTTCTCAGTGTTTTCTTTATTGTTATGACATATGTAATGTAATACACTTCCTTTTTCCATTCATCTATTGAATGAATACATTTTATTGTTTATTAATTTGATTATCTTTCATATCAAATAAACAATATCAAATATGTTCAATGTTCTTTGAACATCCCCGTATATATTTTCTAATTCAATTGTTAATTACTTTATTGTTAAGTTTTATTTTATTTGTTGTTTTGCTATGTCTTTAATTGTGATATCATTTTCAATTGAAAATATTTCTGCAAATTACACATAGCAAAATTGTACTTGCAATCTTGCATCGTTATTTATGTTGTTTTTTTTGTTTGTGTAATTCAAAAAGAAAATAGTAATCCTTACGAACGTATACACAAACTTCTAAACTTAATAATTTTTATAAATCTTCGTTTTTTCATTACCATTTTAAATTATCAATAGTTTTTTTCTTCTATACCCGTAGTTTCCACGAATTTTAACCTAGTATGAGATTATATGTATCACGTAATGTTGATAAATAAATTGTTAGAAGATTTTTAAATGATAAATAGTAACAAAATAATGATATTGAATGGTTAAAGATAATAAAAAATAAAAACTAATTTGCCTTGTTATTTCAAATCAAAGTTTTAAAAAACTCGTCATGGTGAATCGTGACTTCAACTTATCACCAAATTTTAACAAAATTTTGTCTTAAGTAATATAAGTGTATAAAAATAAATAAAGTAGAATATATATATATATATATATATATATATATATATATATATATATATATATATATACACGAAATTCGCTATTAGTCATGCCTTACAAAAGACGTGGTTGGCCAAGACTCAAAAAAGTTAGAGTTTTGATATTGCCGACAAGTCATGTCTTACATTATTTAGAACATTTTTTTTCAAACTCTCACAACTTTTGTATTTCTATATTTACCTCTTTGTTTTCCTTTGTTATTTGCATTCTTGAACTTTGTTTTTTTTTTTTTCTTCCATGTAACCTATTTTTTATCTTTTGTTACTTTTAGCTTTCTAACAACCGTCAAATGTGGCAACGATGCCTACCATTTATAAATACAATCATTAAAATTTAATTTACAAAACCAATTAGCTTTGGTGCTTGTTAAAATACTTTGTAAAATAATATTTTTTATATCCCTAAAGTGACATTTTCACCATATACTTTTTAAAGTACTTTAGAAAATGATATTTCCATCCCTTTGTTTTTTAAAAAGTTACTTTCACCGCACCCACTTTAAATTTTATTTTCTAAACTTTCGTGTTTATCCCCCTCTAATATATATTTAATTTGATTTTCTTAATAAGTTACATTCGTAAACTTAAAAAAAAAAAAACTAATGTTTTAATGTATGTGTCGGTATAAATTCAAAATGATTAATGTTTCGACGCTAATTTACAATTATTGTTCGTTAATTAAAAAAAGTTGTTTTTTATGCACAGGTTGTCAATATCGAGATCTCAACATAAGCAAATAAGACCCCTCGGTTAATAATACAAGTAAGATCCTTCGGTCAGTAACACGAATAAGACCATCCCGTCACACATAAATTATTACACGGGTAAGTTTAGTAAGAAGACTCACCTTAGTCGATGGATAACAAATCCTACCCTCGTGTCCATTGCACAACGACTCCACACACTGAGCCAAACAAGATCATTCTCAGATAACATTCAGGGTTATACCCAAAGCACAAGGCCCAATCTAAACATGCCCTCGAAGGCCCAAACCCAAACTAGACCAAATAAGGCCCAACTTACTAACTCCCTAGGCCCAACAGGGCAATCCAACATGGCCCAAAACGGCAAAACCCAACCTCAAAACAAGTCCAAGCCCATAACTCCACTGATCAGACGAACGCACGACGTTCATGGGCGGAACGCACGACGTTGGCCGTCGGATCGCTTCACGGGGACTCAGGCCGGAACGCGCTGCGTTCCTAGTGATTATGCGTGGCGTTCTCGGTGAAATTCCAATTCTTGTTCTAATGACTTATTCCATTAAGTCCAGTGTCCAACACCTCAAAATAATCCCATAATAATGAATTAATCCATAAAGTCGAAGGCTTTAAGCCTTAGCATGGCTCAAAGGGGCCCAAACATGATTTTAAGCACTCTAACTCCATAAAAAGGCCAATAACTCACATTTAGTCCTTAACTCCTTAAGTCTTTTCACTCAACACTCAAATCTGGTCCAAGAAGGCATTTTATAACATAAAGTTCCCAACTTTATGCCTTGTTATGGCTAAATATGCTCAAACCCAAACCCTACCTTTTAACACAGAAACTCAAACTTCATAATCCTATGCATGGATGGAAGGAATGGATTAAGATCACATTTTTATGACTTAGAACACTCAAAAACATCAAAAAGGAAAACTCAAATGGTCTAGAGTAACCATACTCATAAAGACCAAAGCTTTGGGACAAAAAGTACATAAAATCCAATACTAGCTAGGTCAAACACATGATTCACTAAGATAGATACTTTATACCTCTAGTAGCTTGCAAAGTTGATGAAAGATTTGGATCTAGAAGCTTTACTCCAACAATAGCTTGATCACCAAGTTTCGTGTTCTTCAAGGGCCAAACATAACAAGTCATAACCCAACTAGATCCACATGAGAAAGCCACCAAGATTCAAACTTTATACTTTCTGTAGCTAGATCTATATGATTAGGGCTTGGATCCACAAGATCCAAGCCAAGCAATGCTTCCTCAAGAAACTCCTTCTTCCACAATAAGCACCAAAACCCAACTAAATCACCAAAAAGCTCAAGAATCACTCAAATAGAGGCTAAGGGTCGATTTCTAGGGTTTAGAGGGATGGAGGCTGAAGATATTAGGGTTAGGTTATGAGATAAGGAGCTTAAATAGGGTCCACGACCCTAAAATATGGTTTGCATTTGATTAGAGTACACCCAACGTACTCCAAAGAGCACCCGCGACCATCCTGTTCAGTACGTCCAACGTACGCCAAGGTATGCTACGCATACTGCTCACTTCACTAGTATACCCGATGTACCCTTTGTGTACGCCCCACGTACTCGACTGAACCCTAAAACCACCAAACTTCCGAATGCCATAACTTCTTCGTTATAAATCTGTTTCCGACGATCCTTATATCCACGAAAAGGTAAAGAGAATCCTACACTTCTATCAACTTTATTTTTCCTAAAACCCACTCGAACCTAGATCCAAAATTCATGAAAGTACCGAACCAACGCCATTACCTGTACCCTTGGGCTCTAAAGCGCAAACCGAACTCTTTAATCACACAACCTACCTTACCCACATCCAAAAGGATCTAAACCTTTCTTCTTAAAGCCTCAAAACCTTCTCATACCCAAATTACGGCCCACGAGCCTTAAATCACATAACGATCCGAAACAGGATATTACATAACAACCATGTTTGTTTGTATAAATTTGAGTTTGTCTATCTTTCGATGTAATTTTTTTACATTTCCGTGTTTATTTTTTTGTATATTTCCTACTTATGATTCGGGTCACATATAATACAATTTTGATTATTTGAATTTTTGTTCGTTAACTTCAAAAATAATAATATTTATTACTTATTTTTATGTACATATCGGTATAAATTCGAACTTCTTTGCGTTTCAATGAAAATTTTGTATACATTTTCATGCTTATTTTTATGTATGTTTCCTACGTATGAGTTCGATCACATATAAAAGTAGTTAGCTTTTATCAATAAAATTGTCAAAATTTACCTTACAAAACAAATTGTAGTCATTGCAAAAGGCGACGAGCAAATCCTAGTTTTAAGTAAAAACCAAAATTACACCCTTTATTGTTACTAAAATGAAAACCTATACAAAATACACTGCACATAAACATTGATTTTACAAATTAATTGAATTTTGATTTAAAAATAATGAGGTTGCATGGATGGATGGAAGGATAAGGTTATCCACCAAAACCAAGTGGAAAAGCAGCCACATCGGACTCCAAGATATGGAGATCACAAATACCCTTCATCTCCATTTCTCACCTCTCAACCTTCCTTTAACTCACCCATCATTCTTTTTTCATCGATCGACACACAGAAGCAAAAAAAGAAGAAGCATCAATGGCCTCTACATCTGCAGTTTCCATAGCTATGCCATTGACCCACAAGACTACTCTCCCACTATCGAACGCCTTCTTTAACCCATTGACACTCAAGGTTTCTTCGTCTAAGATAGTGGCTGCACCATCCAAACGATTGGTGGTTCAGAGCTCTTTGAAGGAGAAGGCAGTGACGGCTTTGACCGCCGCAGCTCTAACGGCGTCGATGGTGGTTCCTGATGTAGCAGAGGCGGCGTCTGGTGTTACTCCGTCGCTGAATAACTTCTTGCTCAGCATTGGAGCTGGTGGTGCCGTGCTTGTTGCCATTTTGGGAGCTGTGATTGGTGTTTCCAATTTTGATCCTGTGAAGCGTGGCTGAGCTAATGTTTGTGTTATCCTTTTGAAAATTTTATTTTTGTGATTGGTGTATTTCTCTTCTCGTGATTTCTCTGTGTATTATGTGTATCTTCTTTATAAAAAAAACTTATTAATCTTAATCCTTTTCTTGGCCAGTCTATGCATAAAAAGTAGTAATCTTTATCAATCATTTACTTGATTAGATTAGTGAGTAATTATTGAAAAGGATTAAAAGATTTCTAAAAGAACATTCTTTACGTTTTATATTTCTTATTTTATATGGTGTTGTTCTAATCTCCGAATGACAGCCATGTTACATTGCTTTCTAAACCAATTAATCATTTTCTCGTTCTGTTAGTAGGAAGCTAGTTAGCTGTTATTAGTTTGTGTGTTGTGGAAATTGAAACATGTACTTATATTATTATCAAATTTATGATATTTTTTGGGGCACTTAAGATTAGGGTATGTTAGGTTTAGCGTAACACTAGTTTTGGTTATGGGCATGAACTTAGACACAGCATCACAGGTTTGGTGTAAACGGTAAACATCAGTGCGAACACTAATGTTCTCACTAGACTTTTCGAAATCACACCAATAACAGTTTTTGGCTGTCAATGGCTAGAAATTTTGTGATTAATATGAGCTGTATACCCATAAACATCTGTCTTTTACCCAAATGTGTTATACGACATAGGTTCAACCCCTCCCGAAATAGAGCTTAATGGGTTCATATTCTTGCGTAAGTTACCAATTCTAAGATGGACATGGACATCTTTGTTATAAAAGTTTTCTTAACCCATGGAGTCATGTCTCACGCATATATATATGGCTTCATGATAAGGCTAGTTCGAGATAACCACAAGAATTGGAGCAATTTTCTGGATTTTCATAATCAACTAACAAAGTTTACATATGGACTAGCTCCAATGTAGGAAAACGTACATGCATCAAGGGAAATGAGGTCATATTTTGGGAAATGAGGTCATATTTGGATGCAAGAAACTATCAATGATTATTAGCAACAAAGGAGACCAAGTCTTCGAAGCAACTTCCACTAACCACTTGAATCTGATGGCCTTTAAGATCTCCCTCATTGGCCGTTGTGAATGAAAACCTACAAGGTTCACAATGTGAATGAAAGAGATATACAAGTAAAATAGTAAAAAAATATACTAGTAGCATGTTCGGTCGTATAAAAAAATATATATAGCTTTTACAATTGTAACCGGCGAGTTCTACTATCTTGGAATATTTCACAATTATATCCTTAGTTTAATAAATACTATCTAAAACTATTCTTCAATATATGATATTAAACTGTTAGTCAAAAAATTAATTACTCGGTTGTTCAATATATGACACAAATATCACTTAAAAGTTGCATTAGGCTATTTCTTAATGTGTAATTAAGTATTTATGCGGCTATCGAGATATAAAAGTTCGGCTTAAAAATCTAGTCTTGATTTATATTAATTTCTATGTCAAACAAATTAAGATACGTCATGGGTAATTACCTCTAATTAATACTCTATTCTCCGTCTAGCCTCCGTCTAACACATGGAATAATTACCTCTAATTAATACTCTATTGACACTCAAAATAAACCAAAGGTTACGCATACACACACACACACTTTCTCTCTGTCTCTCTAACTCTTAAGATGGGTAAAATACCATTTTACCCCTCTGTTGTCTCCATTACTCATGTTTGACCAAACCCTAAAGTCAACAGAAGTCAAACTCGAGTCAACAGTCCATGTTTGACCCGACTCGCTGAGTGCACCTATGTGACTCGTCGAATCTACTCTTTTCCTTAGAAGTCTCGTGAAGGTCCAGCTCAGATCATCAAGCTGACCCCCAACTCGCCAAGTTATCGCATGATCAAGCTCATGGGACAAACCCTAACCGACTCATTGAGTCAGCTCATGGACTCGGTGAGTCCCATAAATCTGATTTCTCATTCGGATGTTTCAAAGCAAATCTACCACTCCAAACACTAGATCTAGCATCCCAAGACTCGATTGTCACGTAAAGCTTCGATCTTTACGTTCATGCATGACATATTTTCTCCATATTACCAACTACATGCTCTCACAAGGTGTTAAGCACAAAAACCCTATTTTGGTTTAATAAAGTTGGGACCTTTTGACTCAAGGGATCTCACAAGGTCTAGATCTGAAGTCTAGACCTCCTAATAGACTCCATGCACTCAGTGTCCTAACCAAAGGTGGTAAAATCCCTAACTTCCATACTCAAGAGATCTAACCAAATAAATAAGAAAGGTGCAAGATTTTACCTTCCACATAAGCTTTAAGTGAAGGAATTGTTGGATCCCATAATATCTCCTCGTCACCTGCTTGTATCACCCTTCTTTCCTTCCAAAAGATTCACCAAAATACTCAAAAGTTAGCTCAAACACTCTCTCTTAGCTCAATGGCCGATTACGGTTTCTCTCAGTGAAGTTGGGCAGCTGGTGAGGTGCAAATGGGGACATAAGTTCTGTTAAATAGGCCCAAACCCCGGAAATTTAGGGTTTCATCACACAACGCCTACTAGGCGAGTCGACTCTCCGACTCGTCGAGTAAGTTATTAATTCCACGTAGCGAACTACGACTCTACTTGATGAGTTGAAGCACGTACTCATTGAGTTGCTCAATAGACTCAAAAATAAAATAAATAAATAATATCCTTAGGAGTCCGGATGTTACATTAATGACATGCAAAATATGACATTCACTGGTTTTATGGTACGTAAAAGTGTCTGTCCTAAAAATAATATCATCTCTTACAAAATTTGAAAGTTTTAGGACACATATTTTTGTGTGTCCTAAAATTAGTGTCACAAAAAAAACACGTACGGTGCCCATCATAAAACATGTGTTGTGCACAACATGTCATTATATAACCCTTCTAATTAACGTACGTCTCTTAATAGCTAAGATTAAATGAAATCTCAAAAAAGTTATGAAACCCCTGCATCAGATCATCTTCTTCATCTCTCCCCAACATTTAAAAGTCAACTTTTTTAGGTTGTTGTGCTCCCAAATTGAAACCTTTCTATCTCTCTTCTTCTCCAAATGCTAAACCTTCCCCATGACCATAGACTCATCACTCCCACACCACCATTGTATCACAATCATCATCTACTTATTCTGGTGTCTCTGTAACATCCCAAAAATAACAACAATTTAAAACTTTCAAAAACAACCCATAGTCATATAGTGTTTAAAAAATCATAATTTTCAAATTGTTTATCCATATCAGAGTATCCCAATATCATAACGCCATAAACAGAGGATGTATACGGTCACACCTTCACCTTCCCACGATCATCAAGAGTACCTGAAACAACAAAATAAAACTGTAAGCCATATCTTAGTAAGTTCCCCAAAGTACCAACACATAAACGAATAATATATACAACAACATGTTGGGTCCAGTCAACCATCAGGTTGGAATAACCCAGGCCCAGTCAACCTCCGGGTCCAGTCATCCTCGGGGTGGAATACCCTAGGATGGAATGCCAGTTTACAACAGGTCCCTGATTCATCAAACCATAATACCCTTAGGCCCTCAGTATGAGTCTGGCATGCCAACCGACCCTCAGCTCGCATCTGGAATGCCCCCGGTCCCTCAGTATGAGTCTGGCATGCCGATCGACCCTCAGCTCATATCTAGAATGCTCCTGGGTTTGTTGGGTACAATACAAAGCAGTACAACCTTAACCTAACACAATATATGGACATATAACCGATAACAAACATATTTAACACACAAATAATCATGCAAACAAAAATCACAGTTAGTCCTATAGATCTACCCGTCTATGCATATTAGCAACTAGCATATAATCATGTAGATCTATCCCATATTCATCATATCAATGTATAGCAGGATATCAATCCAATGGGTCGGCCTTGGTACCTTAGACCCATGAGTACAGTGAGGAAAACTCACCTCTCAATCTGGACAATAGTTGATGAGGTCCCGACTCCAAGTCTCGGCTCTAACCGTCACCTAATAAACCAAATGACCAATTCTCAAACACAATTCCAAAATACCTAAAATACCCTTAAGCCAAACTTGGTTAACCCTGATCAAAGTCAAATTCAAAGTCAACAACCCTTAATGACAAATTTATTTCCTCACATCGTGACCAGGCCTTGGTCACGTCGTGACAGTCCACTTGGTCCAAATCCCACTCGTCTTGGCCCAACCTAGTCAACTCAGTCAAAGAAACCACCTGAAATGGCATCACGACGTGAGCACCCATTCTCACGTCGTGAGCTCCAAGAATTCTAATAAAAGATGAGGATTTTTCGAATCTCACATCGTAAGATCTTACATCTCACATCGTGAGTGCAGTATGAAGCTAAAAGTTACCATTTGAAGCCCTTATTCCATTAAGACCTCAAATCCATCTCATCCATAAGTTAAAGGGGGACTCCTAAGGTCTATAAAAATGTTTCCTTGATGGCCATGCATGATCCAACCCCTTTCTATGTCAGGAGTGAAGGAATATGCATCAAACTTTCATGCATGCCTCATATACCTCACCAACTTTTAGATATGAGCAATAGAATAGTCAAGGAACTCTTGAAATCAATAAAGTTGCTAACTTTATGGATTTACCTCACTCAATCATCCGATAACATGAATAAAATGGACAAAACCCTAGATCTACCTATACTATGCAATAAAGTTGGAAGCTTTGAGACTTACAAAGGTCCAAAAGAAGGAAGGGATGATGGTGATGATGATGATGATGATGATACTTTACCCACTTTTCCACTAGAGTACTTCATTCCTCTTCTTCTCTTCTTCTTCAAGCTAGAATGCACCAAAATGGCTAAGGATCTTAAGGAGGAATATGATTAGGGTTTATGGAGGCTTAGAGATTGAGAGAGGCTGATGGTAGGAAACCCTAGCCCTCTTATTCCCTTAAATATCAAAGAGATTAAGGTTTTGGTCATCAGGCGCTCTCACTTCATGAGCATTGGACTACTCACGTTGTGAGCCTTAA